ATATATGCCCAAGAAAATTCCCTTTCACTCATTACAACCCACTTAAACCAAAAGTTTTAACTTATACTTTAGACGCTAAGATTTAAAGATAGGAAAATGAAATATGTACAAGTTTATGGGAAAAATAAATTGAAACAGGGCTGGGAGTGTAGCTCAATGATAAAACCCTTGCCTATCATGTGTGAGGCCCTGACTGGCAGAAAAAAAAAAAAAAGATTAAAACAATGAATGATATTGAGGCATGGGGAAATATACCATAAAGTTTTATAGAAGTAATTTGGAGAAATCTTCTCAAAACTTAGAAACCCAGGAGATCAGTTCCAGTAATGGTTGTTTAAGTGTATGTCATAATCGGTTGCCACGGAAGCTGTTGTATGTTATGGAGTGAAATAGTTCCCATTCACCTTTGAGCATGTTTTTTTTTCTAAGCAAGAAACCATCATGGGAGACCTTTTGTCCTTATTTTGGGAGGTGGATCCTCCCCCTGCACCTTTAAGTCATTATAACCCAATTCAAGATTACGAATGCCAGAAGGATGACTCTTGTCGGGCGATAGGGAACTTCCTGCTTTGGTATTTTGTCATTTTACTGGTCCTGGTGTTCCTCTCTCGGGCTTCTGTCTGGGTAGGATATCTTTTTCATTTTAAATAATATCTTAGTATATACTAGGGGATTTTTCATTAAATACATTCACTTGACTTTGATGAAACTACTTTTTAAAAGTTTGCTTTTTAGTTTAAAAAATAATGCAGTCTTTTCAAGACAATCTGAGGCATTAAAAAGGATGGAGAAGGGCCAGGGATTTAGCTCAGTGGTTCCACCACCTGCCTAGCAAGCACAAGGTCCCAAGTTGGATCCTCAGTACCAAAAAAAAAAAAAAAAAAGAGAGAGAGAGAGAGAGAGAGAGAAAGAATGGAGAAGAAAATTTAAAATTACTCTAGTCCTGTATCACAGAGATAACCTGTTAACATTTTGGAATATGTTCTCCTAGATTATCATCTTCTTCCTCTTTTCCTCCTCCTCCTCTTCCTCTGTCTCTTCCTCCTTCCTCTTCTCTATCCTAGTATATCTCTGTCTCTCCATCTTTGCTTTTACATGGTTGGCATTATATTGTATATATTTTCATACCTGCTGTTTAAGATTAATAATATACTGTAAACACTTCACCAAGTTATACTCACTCAGTAGCATTTTTAATGATTGCTCAATTTTTTAGTCTTGTGCTTGCATGATAAAAATGCTGCAATTTTGGGATATTTATTTGCAAATAGTCCATATACCATATGATCTAGGGATAAAATTCTCTACTGGTTAAGTACTTCTAACCTCCTTTGCAGCCATATAATGTGAATGAAAGTTACAAAAGTTTGTCATTATGAAAAGGACACATATTGTAGGATTTGGGGTTTTTAGAATGAGGCAATACATTCTTTCTGCACATAATATGATAAACAGAACTAAAGTCACCACTTTTTGTTTGTTTGTTTTTTGAGACAGGGTCTCACTATGTAGTTCAGGCTGGCCTTGAACTCACGACAATCTTCCTATCTTCCTGCCTCAGTCTCCAAAGTGCTGGAATTACAGGCGTGACGCCATCACACCCAGCATAGAATCACCATTCTTGATCACCTATTAGTAGAAGAAAATGACATCATGGGAATGATATGGCCCATTTTATAGGTTAGCAATCCCCCAACATATACTGCTGACATGGAATCCTTGCTGGTCATTGATACCAGGCTGGTGATTATTAATCAAGCCACCATCATTTCACATTATGGCCAGAAGTCTGGATTGGCAATGGTTGGCTAGACTGAGTACTAAGTCAGCTCTGGGCAGAGAAGAAGTGCGTTGTGTCTTTGCCAGCTGGGTGCCATTATAACCACCAAAGCCTCCCCGCTACCAGCCCCAGCCAGAAAGTTTCATCTAAATGCTTCTTAAGGGAAACACTTCGCTAAAATGAGATTTAGAGTAGTAATAGCTTATATCTATCTATCTATCTATCTATCTATCTGTCTGTCTATCTATCTATCTATCTATCTATCTATCTATCTATATCTATCTATCTGTCTGTCTATCTATCTATCTATCTATCTATCTATCTATCTATCTGTCTCTCTATTTTAGACTCCCTAGTTGAGCATACTGAAGTCTGGCCTGACAACAAAATTAAGGAGAAACTGAAGATGTTCAATGACCATTTTATCATGAAGACCACTTCAAAGGTCTAAGCTATTCCTTTGCTCTCTTGCTTGGGTCAGCTCTTTGGGGTAATCAAGTCCTGAGTACCAGGACCTCTGGAGAACATGTGGTCCAGTCCTCAGTTTGTAGGCAAGTAAGGTATGAATATTTGCTTTTGTTTTGAGACAGTCTCACTATGTACTTCAGGCTGGCCTTGAACTCACTATGTATCCCAGACTGGCTTTGAACTCATGGCCATCCTCCTGCCTCAGCTTCCCAAGTGCTGGTGTTACAGGCATGCGACACTATGCCCAACAACTTTTGTTGCTGATGATGGTTGTGGTGGTGTTGATAAGGCCCGAGGCAATTAAGTGACTTGTCCTATGTCGTACAAGTGGTTAGTGACAGAGTGATGGAGGAGGAATAGAACTAGATTTCCTATCGTGTTTTTTGTTTACTTCAAGGCACAGTTTTTTGTTTGTTTGGTGTGTGTGTGTGTGTGTGTGTTTGTGTGTGTGTGTTGGTACCGGGGATCGAACTCGGGCCCTTGAGCTTGTAAGGCAGGCCGTGGAGCCACTGAGCTAAATCCCTGGCCCAAAAGCACAGTTTTAAGTGTTGAATTAAATCTTTTCAGTGCTGATTAAAACCTTAATTATTTTAGGGGTTTTCTCTTTCACTTTGTGCCCTTATGGCAGCTACAATTGGCTGGACTGCTTCTTCTGAAGAGTCCCAGATTGGAAACCCGAGAACCATACGAGAGCTAGTCAAGGAGGACAGAATTTTTCCTTCCCTTTGAACTTCTTCATTTTCTCTGTTAAATTATGAGCCTTTATTTACAAACCTTGAGGTAATGGTGGAAGCGTGATGGAAATGTGGTGGTAATTATCCTCCAGCATGAAGTGGGCTGCTTTCCTTTGGATTTGTCACTTTTGAAGACGCATTTATCCTTTTGCTTTCAGAGACCATAAATGCTCTGTCTAGTTTATAGATTTGTTTACTGTTTCTTCAGATTGCTGTGCTAGCATTTTTCTGGGCAATGTTAGTCCAAAATCTGTACCTTGCATGTGTGGAAACGGAGCTGAGAGGTGTTAAGTGGTTCAGGAAGATCACAGAGTTGGGTCGTGGCAGAGCACAGCCCACATCTTCTACCTCCTCCAGGACAGGGATGGCTGCTGTTTTCACTCACTAAGTCATACTCAGAGACAGCTCATAAAATGCTTTCTGTAACCACAGTTCATACGATTCCGCTTAGCTTAATGAGAAATCTTTCTTTTGATTTTATGGTTATTTTTTGATGACATCAAATAAGGAAGCTTTCTGTGGAAATGATATGAGCCCAATAAGTGTCTTTAAACACCTTTCCCTGAGGGAAGGGACAAGAAAAAAAAAAGTGAAAAATAAAAGGAAAAAATGGAAAGAAAGCTTTTGTACATAGGGGAGGGGAGGAGCTCAAGGCGAGGGGAATGGGATAATATAAGATAAAATTTATTAAACACCTTTCCCCTTCATTACAAAAGTATTACAAAAAATGTGGAGATTTTAGGAGAACACACAAAATGAAACAAAAAGCCCTCCTGATGATGTAGAAATAACTATAACTTTTAGGTTCATACACTTCCTACTACAGAGCTTCAAAACATTTATAAAAAAAAAGATATCTTCTGGGATGGAGTAAAAAACAGATATATTTTTGTTTTTGTGACAGGGTTTCACTCTGTAATTCATGCAGGTTGGCCTCTGACTCATGGCAATCCTTCTGAGCTTGGGAAGCTGAGGCAGGAGGATCACTGTGAGTTCAAGGCCCACCTGGGCTACATAGTGAGTTCAAGGCCAGTTTGAACTGCATAGAGAGACCCTGTCTCAAACAACAACATCACCAAGATAACAACAACAACAACAACAAAAAGTTATGTATATATTTTTGGTACCGAGAATCAAACTCAGTACCTTGTACTTTCGAGGCAGGTGTGGTGCTACTGAGCTAAATCCCCAGCCCCCAAAAAATTTTAAAAGAAGACTTTCAGTCTTAAGATTTTCAGAAAATGGCTATTATAATCCAAAAAGAAAACTGGGCCCTCAGTAGAGATACAAATAAAGCAGTTGGCCAAGGATCTTAGATTTCTGTTACAAATATCCAAGTATGAGACATTTTAACCCAAAGGAAATTTGACTCTCTACATAAATTCATTTTTTTCTAATTGTAGACAATTTGAAATAAATAGAAAGGAAAAAGTCATTGTTTCACAATGTAAAGCCAACCATCATATCACTTATATACATTCCTTAAAGTTTTTTTTTCATATTTTTAGCTAACTCATGATCATACTGTTATATACAAATTTGCATCTTCATTTTTAGCTCAATATTGAAACATACTTTCTTATGCTATGGCCTACTTATAATTTTTTAGCCATATCTTATGTGATTATATCATAATTAACTTTAAATGTTATCTATTTTAAGTTTTGGACTTTGGGGTTTTATATCATCCTGATTATACTGTGATGAATACTTCTGTGTACAAACTTTGTCTTTGTGTGTGGGGGTATTATTTCTGAGGACAGATTCCTAGAGAAAGAATTATAGGTCAAACGTGTTAATGAACATTTCTACTTTTTGATACTCTGGAAGAGTAGCCTTACATTTGCATCTTTTGTCACTACCATTTTCAGCATCAAGGTGGGACATTAATTTGAAAAATGGCACAAATATACTAATGGAGCATTGGGCAGAATATTTGAAATTGGAACTATTCAAGAAAATCTATTTCTTCTGATTTCCATATTCACAGATAATATATTATGGTAGCATTTGGAGAAAAATATTTGCAAGGGTAAGGAGATAGAAAGTCTTGTTAATTCTGGTAAAAGGCTCTGTATATATCAGTGTCCCATTTCAGACATCTTATTTAAAGAACCATCAACAACATGGCCTGATAAAATGGCCTTAAAATTTTTTGTAAACTAATGTGAGTACTATCAAATCCATTTTTTCTTTCTCCTATTTTTTTTTTTTTTTGGTGGAAGTGGAAATTGAATCTGTGGCCTCTGCTTTGAGCTACAACTCCAGTCCCTTTTTATTTTTCATTTTGAGACAGCATCTCATTAAGTTGTTAAATTGTCCACACTGGGCTCAAACTTGCAATCTTCGTGTCTAGCCTCTGAGAGTACTGGGATTACAGTACTGCCGTCATTCCAGGCTCAAATATGCTTTTAAATAAAATCTCTGTATGGGAATGGGTATAGGAAAACTTTATAACCTATGCCTCTTCATCAGTATTATTTCCTCTCTTGCCTTTGTGCCGTTTTGCTCGGTTCAAGAGTTTGCAAGATTCTGCTGTCAAAGTATGGTCTCCTGAACAGAGAGCAGAAGCAGGATCTCAGCAACACAGGAACTCAATAAGTACTTATTTATAACAACATGGAATGTTTAGATTAGTCATTGTCAGAGGGCCTCAAGCAATAGTGTTCCGTAACAAGTAAATATTAGTGGGAAACGACTGACTGAGGCCACGCTTACTAACTGATATTTCTGAAACAGATATCTGAGAATAAACAGGATGGAGCCAGTGGGACGAGTGCATCAGCGAGTAAAGGTGAGAGCCAGTCCATGCTTGGAATGGGGCTTTGATGAGAAAACGGCGTGCTGAGGGTGGACAGCAGGCAGCAGCGCGGAAGCCAGGCGCACTGGGAGGACTCTGCCCAAGTGGCAAGGCCCACTGTGAGGCCTTGTTTCTCTGCTTCCCAGTGGAGAAGGGAGCTGCTTCTGCAGAGCACCTGAAGCTACGAGTTTTAGAGCCCAAGCTCCCTGCCATTCCTCAGTGCATTCCCCTTGCACACGTTTCCACTGTTGGTGCCGTTACAGAAAATGAACTGCCTGTGACATCTTTTTTTGTTCTGACATGCTGTTTATTTTAAAATTTTTATTAGTACATGCTTGCAGTTGGTAATGATCACATTCTTGCGGGGAGCTGGTACATGTACACAGTACATCTTAATTCTTTTTGTGTCCTCTTCTTTGCCCACCCCATCTTCTCTTTTAGTCTCCTTCCCATTTCCAGATCTATCTTCCGATTTCTCATTATCTATCTTTTTTTTTTTTTTTTGATTCCAGGGATTGAACCCAGGTCCTTGCGCTTGCAAGGCAGGCCACCCAACTGCTGAGCTAAATCCCTGGCCCCTCATTATCTATCTTTTATCTGGCTCTTTAATTTTTTTTACACTGAGTTTCTCATAAAAGAGAAACCATAAGATATTTAAGCTTGTGTGTCTGATTTATTTTGCTTAATATTATAGCCTCAAGTTTCATCCATTTTCCTAAGATGACTCAAATGTATCTTTCTTCATAGCAGAGCAATACTCCATTGTGTGTAAATATCACATTTTCTTTATCCTTTCATCTGTTGATAGACCTATAGGCCACTTTCAAGATTTGGCTGTTAATGAATTGTGCTGTTATACACGTGGGTATGCATGTATCACTTGACACCTTTTAAAAGTAACTTATAAAATGTAGTGTGCTGGTGAATGCTTAATAATTGACTCTTCAAAATATTGGTGTGTATACATGTATTTATTTTTAAAATTACTGATATATGAACTGGGCATGGTGGTGCATTCCTATAATTTCAGCATGCAGAAGGCTGAGTCAGGGGGATTACCACAAATTTGAGACCAACCTGAGCCAAGTAGTGAGTTCAAATACAGCCTGAACTTCGTCTTGAAAAAAATTTTTTTAACTGACATAAAGGTTGTATATCACAGAATTTATAAGTAATAAAATATACAGTGCTCTTTACGGTAAATTCTATGTAGACAACTGAGTCACACAAAATGTTTTGGCAGACCCTTGCATCCACAGCCATCCCATGTCTACATCTGATGAAAAGATGTAGTTTCAGCATGAATGTGATCTTCCTTAAAATTGAGGAGTAGAAGAGTAAAGGGCTGGGGATTTAGCTTAGTGGTTCTGCCACCTGCCTCGCAAGCGCAAGGACCTGAGTTCAATTCCTGGTACCCACCCCCCAAAAGTTGAGGAATAAGATGAAAGTGAAACAGGAGATGTATGTTAGAACTTAACTTGGTTGTCAATAATGTGAGTAGCATCTTTGCCAAAACAGATGCTAGGTTTATAGTACTGGAAGAATAAGTTTCATTTTTGAGTGTTTTTCACAATGTAGTGGTTGGAGGCATGACATATTCACTATCACTTTTTCTTGTTTGTTTGTTTGTTTGTTTAGGCAGGGTCTCACTATATAGTTTAGGTTGTGCTTGACCTCATCTCTGTCAAACTGGCAATGATCCTCCTGCTTCAGCATCCTGAGTGCTGGTATTACAGGCATGTGCCACCACACCCAGCTGAATTTTAGTTATGACTATTTTAAACATCTCACAGAATTCCTGAAAGTTGATCAGCTCTTTTGAGTTTGTCTGAGCCAACTCCAACACATTATTACTCAAAGAAAAAAAAATCCTTCTTAGTTCTTGCTACCCAAATCACATTCATGTATGCACTTGAATCTTTGAGACCTCAAGGAAAAGGAAAAAACAAAGTCCCTTCTTCGGAAAAGTTTGGAGGTCTTTCTCTTTGATTTTATATTTCAGTGTCACAAAGTTTCAAAAGTTAAATTGAGTGTGGTGGCTCACATCTGTCATCCCAGCACTTGGGAAGCTGCGACAAGAGGTTCACTGCAAGTTCAAAGCCAGTCTGGCCTACAATGTGAGTTCAAGGCCAGCCGGAACTAAATAGAGAGACCCTGTCTCAACAAAACAAACAAACATCTGATATGTCAAGCATCTATCTGATCCCTCTGACCACCTGACCCTTCTGGCCTTTATGAGATTGGGGTTTGATACCAGAAATGTAGTCAGTATCTGGTATTTGCAAATGACTGAAGAAGGGCAGTGACTTAACAGCCAGTCAGTAAGAATGAGCCCACTCATGTCAGGCTTCATGGGTGATGTGTAGTTCTAGTAACCAACAGTGAACCTAACTTTTTGATTTGCTTTGTTGGCTAGCAAGCAAAGAAAATTCCTATCAGCGGCAAAGCAAAGGTGGTTGCTGGGACTCTTCACAAGTGAAAAAAAAGCAGAGTCAACTTCCCCCCATCACTGACTCAGAAGTAGCTTTGGCCAATGCCTACCTTGAACAAAGACGAATCAGGCGCCACTTTGAAGGCCATAAGGTGAATCAGAGTCAACAAGACAGTGAAACCACTGAGGGTGACAGTGAAGAATCTAATTCGGGATCCTCTTCGTGGAAGGAGAGTGAAAGTGAAAACCACTCCTCACCAGTCAGCATTCAGAAGAGAAAAGTGTCTCAGAGGCACCAGACTCTAGGAAGTCAGCAAATCCGAGAAAGGCCCTGCCTCCACTGCAGAGCCATGAGAACCAATGAATGGTTGACACGTCATTTCCTACAAAGAGCTTCAGAAAGGGTTTCCACAAAAGAAGATACTCAGGAGGAAAGTTCCATACCTGAGATCAACACAAAGTTCCGTAAAATTTGAATTTTGTCAAGTCTTTACCTTATTTGAAGCCAAATGGAAGAGTTGAATAAAATATGAAAAATCACCAGAACCCTAGGTGAGGAGACTTTCACAATAAAATTTCTCCGCTAACAACAAAAACTTGGAACCCAAGAGGTAAAATTTCAGACAATTCTTTGTTCCAAAAAAGGCCAGTGAATATATGCATGGCACCATGGGAACACTGAAGTTCTGCATCCATTATGATTTTTTTTTACTCAAAAGAGCACAGGACAGCTACATCAGGTCTTGAGTGTATGTATTTTCTCTATGTCTATAAACAATGAGGAACTTCTTTGAAAACACCTTTATGCTGAGAAATTGTTTATTCAGATGATTTGATGATTTGATTGTTTGACTGAATTTGAATGAATTTGATTATTTGAATGAATTAAGTTTATAATTTCAGGTGATTCTGCCAGAGCTGTGTTGTTACGTGTGTCCACTTGGGGATTTTGAAGCAGGGTTTGAGGGCCTGGAATAAGACCTGATTCTTACAGACAGTGGAGGCAGTGTGATCCAGAAGGGTGGCTGGACCATAGACTGTCCACAGTTCTTGTCTGAGAGGCATGGCAAATGCTAAAGAAAAATATTTTTTGATACTTGTTAAAATGGTAAAGAGGACATTATTGAAGACTGTTGTAATTGAGGTCAATAGGGGTGATAAGTTGAGCTCAACTCCTAATACAATAAAGACAAGTAAAAGTTTATAGCCAAAGAGGAGGACGAGAGGCAGATGGAAAATTGCTAAAAGCAGACCTCAGGATAGGAATGAATTCCTGCTAACCTGACTAACAGGACTCATGCCAAAGGCAGGTCACTTTTACAACAAAGGAGGGACATGAAAGAGTAGATCAGATATCAAGGATTTTCAGGTATCAAAGATTGGAGGACTCTTGCTAAACTTAGTACTTAGAAGCATTCAGCACAGTTGAGGTTGCCAGAGAAGAGAGATATGAGAAAAATTTACACATAGGTAAATTGTAGTGAAATATAAAAATGATTTAAAAAAGAAAAGGAAAAGAAAATTTCTGAATGCTTTAGAGTGAAAAAGAGGTTACCTACAGAGAAATCATAAGACTGACATTAGACTTATATAACACTGAATAAAAAAAAAGACAATAGTGCTATGGGGGGAAAAGAAGACACAAGATATATTATGTATAGGTGCAAATTCCCTATGATGAATATGATCTTTGTGTATATAAAAAGTGCATCAGTAACTAACTTTTTAAAAAAAGCATTGAGCTGGGCGTGGTGGTGCACACCTGTAATCCCAGCACTCTGGAGGCTGAGGCAGGAGCATCACTGTGAGTTCAAGACCAGCCTGGGCTGCATAGTGAGTTCCAGGTCAGTCTCAGTTACATAATGAGACCCTGTCTCAAAAAAAAAAAAAAAAAAAAAAAGCATTGAAAAAAAATGGAAACAAAGTCTTTGTAAATAGGGGAAGAGGGGAGGGGGTGAGGGGAAGGCAGAGGTATGGGAAAAAATGAGAACCAAGACCTGTCATGTAAAGGTACAAGAGCCCAAAGATAAATGTAACTGTACTATATACCTAAAACATACCAATAAACTCAACTAAAAAAAAAACAAAAAACAGTTGAGGCCTTAGAAAATGGCTCAAAATTTGGTCAAATCATGTGTGTTGGTGTTGTAATCCCATTACTTGGGAGGCTAAGGCAGGAAGATTGCTGCAAGTTCAAGGCCAATTTAGGCTACTAGTTAGTTGAAGGCTCCCCCAGACTACACAGTGAGGCATTGTCTCAAAAATTAAAACAAAGCATAATTCAATAAAATTTTGTCAAAGAACCCTGATCACAACTTGGCTGACATTCAGATATGGTTTGGGTTAAGTTTTCCAGTTATGTGGGACCCTTGCTGTGAGGAATTGAAATGGGCCTGGATAAATGTGTGGCCATGCTGGAGATCATTCTCCATTGGGTTGGCAGCAATCCCAGTTGGCAAATAAAGTAAAACCCAGGTTCCAGAAGAAAGGTCCTGGCAAGAGCAAAATAGTGTAATGAGGCAGGGACTATGGCTATGGGGTTAGAGTTCAAAGAATAGCTTAAATCTTGAGAGGACGGATGTGTTGGTTTTTTGTGGGGGGGGGTACTGGGGATCAAACTTAGGCCCTTACCAAGCAGGTGGCGGAACCACTGAGCCAAATCCCCAGCCCAGGATTTGGGTGTCATTCATACATGGTCAAGAGTACTGCCTAATTCTATGAACTGAGCCTTTGATGGAAGTTAGGGAAGGGACCAGCTGGACATAGAGACCAGAGAACTATGACTCTGGGCACAGGAGTCATTCCTGACAAGGTAGACTCCTTAATGATGGTGAGAGTGAGAACTTGGCAGCAATGTGAGAACCCAAATCATTCACTAGGCCACTTGAATCTAGGATGCGAATGATGTTTCTGAGACCATTTGTGGAGACTTTATCTTACGGAGATGACCTCCGGATTGGGATGGCTCTGAAGGCACAGGTGGGAGGCAGGGTACCTTAAGATTCAGCTCAAGCACCAGCCTTTTCCACAGTGACTTTCCCTACTCCTTGTCACTTTCCTCCCTTTGTTCCCCCAGGCAGAACTAACCATGACTTCCGTTATGCGCCACTGTGCCCTGAGCCTGAATTAACTTCAGTATAGGTCTTGGTTCTTTCAACTCAGCTCTTTATCTAGTTTCCTCTCCTCAAATACCTGAAGCAATATTATTGACATATTTCTTTATTCTTTTTCCAAACACGTAAATTTAATTCCTTCTCCCAAGTTTTAAAATTCCCCATACTTAGCTCTCTCACATCACTCCTATCTTCACTAGTATAATAGCTCAATCCTCCCCACCCTATCTTCCACATCTTACCCATCTTATTGTCCTCCCAATAAGCAAGTTTTCCTTAACGGCAAAGTAAACCCCCTTTCTCCCATATCCTGCCCTTGCTCCCACAAAATATCCTCTGAAAACCCGCAAAACTAAGCCTTCAACTCAACTAAAAGTACTCAAAATCAGTTTTTTCTTCTATCTAATATTCTTCCCTTGAAACCTCTCCCTTAGTGCCTGACACCACCACTCCAACCACCCACCTGCTATTCTCCCCTCCCACCTCATCTACTTCACTGCAGAGCAACCACAAATAATAAACTGTCATAGTGTGCAAAGAAAATAGACAAAGGGGGAAAGAATCACTGTAAGGACTATCATAAAGAAGTGCTGTATGATCAAATCTGTGGACACTGTCGTAGATATGAGCAATTCTTTTGTCAAAATGTAAGGACAGAGTCTAAATCACTTGAAACTGGACTAGAACTGGACATACAAAGCTGAAAATTATTCACAGGGAGGTAGCATCCTCTTAAAAATTTCCATATAAGCCACAAACTCCCCTCACTTCTCTAGACCCCAACCTGCAGCAACGCCCCCCCGGCAAAAAAGGGAAGAGAAACAAAGAGGGGGGTCATATATAATTTTGGGGGTAATATATAATTTTTAATAAGTGTACATATATATATATATGTGAAAAATATATATGTAAAAGAATGGGAAAAAAGAAAATAGCTCTTCAAACACATCCCAACCCTCCCAAGGCAGAGTAAGGGATCATGAAGGGAGAAAAAAAGAAATACCACATAGCAGAAATCTATGAAAAGTTCTCAGAGAGGATGAAGAAAATACAGGAATTCAAAGAGGAAATGAACCAAAACGTCACAGCAATTACATTCAATATGCCCGTGGTGAATTTTGGGGAAATAGATAAGAAGCCGGACAAGCCAGCCAAAACAGTCCAAAATTTGAATGACAGGATCAACAAAGACATGGAATAGTTGAAAAGATGTCAGACAGAAATGCCAGAAATAAAAAATAATATAAAATTCATACACTAAAGGAATCTCCATGTGTGACCTCATCTTATTAAAAAGCTTTTGCACAGCAAAAGAAACCACCAACAGAATGAAGAGACAACCCACAGAGTGGAAAAACTTTTTTACCAGCTATTCATATAAAGGGCTATTATCTAGAATATATAAAGAACTAAAAAAATAAAATAAAATAAAAATAAAACCAGGTCCCTCAACTATAAAGACCCATTGCAAAAATCAGCATCTGAAATAAAGACACTTCTCAGGTAAAGAATTAGAAAGAGCAAATTTATACATGAAAAGATGTTCAACATCACTGGTCATTCAAGAGATGCAAATTAAAACAATCCTGAGATTCCATTTCACTGCTGAAAGAATGGTTGCTATCAAGAAATCAAACAATAACAAAAGCTAGAGGGACTGTGGGGTAAAAGAAAACCTTCTCTACTGCTAGTGGGAGTGTAGACTGGTGCAACCACTGTGGAAATCAATGTGGAGATTTCTCCAAAAAACTAGAGGTTCTATTCGACCCAGCTATACTTCTTCTTGGTATCTTCCTGAAAGAATTAAAAGCATCATATCACAGTGGTATATCCATATTGATGTTTATAAGCAGCACAGTTTGTAATAGCTAAACCTTGGAAACAGCCCAAATGGCCATCAACTGCTAAGTGTATAAAGGAGATGTAGTGTTTTTATACAATGGAGTACTATTCTGCCATAAAGAAGGATGAACTTTAGACATTTATAGCTAAATGGATGGACCTTGAATCCATCTTCTTAAGTGAAGTAAATCTGATACACATGTTTAAATATCATATTGTTTCTCTGGTGTGAGAAACTGAATGTGGAAATAAGGACTGAGATTTATAATGGATGTTGGGAAATGGGAAGACAGTGTTCATATGGGAAGAAGAACAGGGAGGAGGGAGGGAGAAGGAAGGAAGGGACAAGGAAAAAGTGAAAATAGAAGGAAAAATGGAAACAAAGCTTTTGTGCATGGAGGAAGGGGCTTGATGAGAGAATGGGATAAAATAAAATTTATTTTAAAAAGGAGAAAATCTCTTGTAACAGTCTACTTTAAGCTAATAATAACTTCAAATGTACACAACAATCTACACTTTTACTCCACCATTTTGTTAACAGCATAATTTACATATTTTAGATGGTATATCTTTAAATATATTTTATACATATAGTTATTTTAAATAATTATGTCTTTTTTTACTTCTATGCTAAAATTAAAAGTGATTCACCCACTCTCAAAAAAAATCATAATGTGAAGACAGTGTCTGATATTGAGGATAAAATAGTGAATTATGATAAAGAACTCAAAGAAGCCAAAAAGAAAATAAGAGAGCAAGAAAGACTATCCAGCAGCTGCTAGATGACAAGAAAACCAACTTAAGGTTAATTAGAATTAGAAGAAAACTAGAGGATAACACAGATTCACTAAAATGCTTACAGAAAAAATGAAAGCATGTTTCCCAAATATAAGAAAAGTTTAAAATTCAAGTATAGTATACCAAGCAGTTATGATGAAAGGAGAAGTTCACCAAGGCATATCCTTGTTAAATTCACATATATTCAGCCGGGCATAGTGGCACACACCTGTAATCCCAGCACTCAGGAGGCTGAGGTAGGAGGATCGCTGTGTTCTCGAGACCAGCCTGGACCATATAGTGAGTTCCAGGTCAGTCTCAACTACATAGTGAGACCCTTACTCAAAACAAAACAAAACAAAAATTCACATATATTCAGCAAAAAGCAAAACGAAAAACAAAAACCAGAATTTTAAAGGCAGCCAAAGAAAAACAAAAACATCACATATAAAGGTCAATCAATTAGAATCCTAGCTGACTTTTCCGCACAAATCTTGAAGACCAGAAGAGCTTTGAGTGAAATATTTTAAGCTCTAAAAGCAAGTAACTTCCTGTAGGGAACAGGGAAAGGGGGCATCACTAGAACTCCTGCAGTGAGTTCTAGTCTCCTGTGAGCCATGACAGCACGAGATGAATGAAACAGAAATGAGACTTAGAGAAGAAGCTGAGATTTGGGCCTGATCAATGCTGCTCTGGGCAGCAAAGACAAAAGACCCTTAGCTTGCCACACCTTTATTTGATACATTTGGAGTAACAAATGTAGCAGATGGCTCAGAGGGTGGCATAGGTGATAATCCTAGAATAATGAGGAACTATGTAGATGAAGATTTTGTTCCTTCCCAGGATGTCTTCAGTGGTATAATCCTGCCCTGGAGCATCACAGCATCACTGGACCATT